GTCTCCCCGCAGCGGGAGGGGGCAGCCCCGGCCGCGGGCGGCCACGCGGACCTCTACGAGCGCTACCAGCTCCTCAAGGCCATCAAGCCCATGGTAGAGAAAGGCCTGTCCTCTGTCAATGACCAGAACCCGACCGGCACTGACTCCAATACAGCCTTAGATGAAGGTGCAGACAGCAATCTGGAAGAGCGCCTGTCCCACCACGTCAATGGCTTGCAGCAAGTTCTGACAGACCTCACCAAAAACACCAAAGCCCTCACCCGGAGGTACAGCCAGATCCTGGAGCAGATCAACCTCAGTGAAGGTCAGTCCAGCTCTTGAGCCTGCACCCCAGCCTCTGAGGTAAGAGCTTGGGGAGATGCAGTGACAAGGAGGAGATGGCTGAGGGGTAACATACTTTGTCCTCTTGCCCCATCAGCTGAGTGGCTTTCTAATGTTTGCACCACAGCCCCAAATCCCAGGAGTTATGAGTCTGCACTTCATTGCTCAACAGATACATCCTCCTGGATGCCTTTCTCAATCACCCACTGGTGCAAGCTGTGCCACCGAACAAAGGTCACTTTGTGAGCTCCACGTTGTCCCCAAGACTCCCCAGCTTGCAGCATAGGCAATGTCTGGCTGCTGTTAGGCAGACACAAAAGTTCCCAGGGAGAAAAGGGCCGCGTGGTTGGAGGACCCTGAGCTCTGGACTCCAGGAGCTGCCAGACACTGGTGCTCCGGCTGCTTCTCTTTTCTCTGTGATGGAAACCGCAACAGTCATTTTTAGGGAACAATTTGGCACTTTCAGGTCTCCAAAAGTCTAAATTTGACATGCCACCTGCAAACACCTCAGATACTTCAATTCTCCCCTAGCCTGGGGGATGGAAACCCATTCTCCATGCTGGTGGAACTTTCATCCCTGAGAACCCTTGGGGAGACATCCCTGTGCCCCACCAGAGATGGGGCTCATGACCAAGCTCCTTGTAGTGAAATGGGGAGTGTAGAAAGGTGACAGCAACAACAGGGAGCATTAACGGGGACTTTATAATGTTAACCCTCGTTTTGGGGGAAACATGGCCAGGAATGAGGACGACCCAGCCAAACCATGTTGGTTATCCCCACAGGGTGATCCGTCGTCCACAGCCCAGCGGCACTTTTTCGGCTGCGCCAAGTCCCACCGAGGAGCGTCTTTTGTGAGCAGCACAGAGCTTGGCCGTCTGCCCGCCAGGCACTGCCTACACCACCCGCTTGCCCTGCGGCCGATCCTGCTGGCAACCTTGCTCCTTCATTTCACCCCTGTCCCAGGGGGATTTCTGCGGGACAGAAATGAGTGTTGCGTGTTATTGCTTTGTAGGAGGCATCTGTAACTTTGAAGCAATGCTTTTTTCTGCATGTGTCTAAACCCCCCCAACCGGTCTCTTTGATAATGTAATCGCTTCCCAAGGCTGATCTGAAATGAAACGCAAAGCCTTGTGCAAATGTGTCCTGTGTTTCCTACCAGCTGTCACTTCTGTATAGCTACTGTCCCCCAGCCCATGAGGACAGGGGGGCCTTGGCCACCAAGGCCACGGTCCAGTGAAGGGAGGTGAGCTGGGTTTCTCTGTCGGGGAGCGGGAACTGGGTTTGCATGTTCCACCTGCCTTTTGGCTCTCATGCCTTGCAAAAGTTCGGTGTAATCCTGCCATCACCCTGTGCTGGGTGCTGGGATCCCAACATGGTCCCCAGCATCCTTCCTTCCCTTCCCCAACATCCCCTCCTCTCCTGGACCCCCAACTTCTCAGCTCCCCAACACAATCGGTACCTGCACATCCCTTCCCTTGGCCCATACTCATCCAGCCCTTCAGACCCAGCACCATCTCCACCACACACAGCCCTGGGGACAACCTGCCGCAATCCCCACCAGCCCCAGCAATGCCAGGGGGCAATTCTGCCTCCTCCCAGCTTGGCCGTGGCACCCTCCAGAGCCGGGAGCAGAGGAGGAGGTGGGGATGCTCAGCTGGGGTGAGGGGGAAGACAGGGCTTCGCTCGCCTGCGATCCCTGCGAGCTTTGGGGAGAGCAGGGGCAAAGTCCTCATTGGGTGGGCAGGGGCTGCAAGCCCTTCGCAGGGGTGTTGGAGCCCTCAGCACAGGCTGGGTCCCACCTCCAGGTGACTCCTTCCCTCCCAGACACACCACTCTGGGGGAGTCCTACTGAGCTGGGCACTAGGGGGAGGTGTCCCCTTGCCTCTTCAGGCCATTTTAAAACAAATAGAACTGTTGAAACAGTGCTGCTTTGGCTTAACAAACACTGGTCCTCCATCAGCTTTGCAGTTTTGACTAAAGAAACCAGAAATCTCTGAGCATCTCTGGTGAGAGGATTGCGACCATGCCCTGGGCTGCAGGCTTCAGTTGTGTTGCGTGTGTTGCTGCACATGCTCTCCGAATCTGCGGTATCACAAGAGTGAAATAACATAAATAACATCCTTCAGACTGAAATCGGAGACTCATCAGCTCTAAAAGTCTCAGTCTAAAATGAGCAAATGTTCTGCAGACGGTTCCCCTGTTTCTTCCCATTACCTGGAGGCAGCTCCATGCCTTGTCATGGGTTCCTGTTCATGTTAACCCCCGCAGTGGGGCCCTGATCGCTCAGCAGCACTTCGAAGCTCCAGAGCACTGTAAAGAAACAGAAAAGCAGGAACTCTATCCCTTGCTTTTATTTTAGTGAAACTCTAATAGCACAGAAAGTAAAAGAAAAAACTTATTTCACAATTTAACAACAAAATGCGCTGTGGCTTCAAAGCCTCCTCCCACTACACCCCCTGCTCTGACATCCTGAGCAATGGTAGATGCTGTCTTGAAATCAGTCACACTTAAATATCCGCAGTCTCAAAAACACCCCAGAAGCACCGACTGTTCTACAGTCCTTGCACAGAAGGAACCCAGCAGTGGACTGGGGACAGCTGACGCCCCGCGTAATTCCTCAGGGGAATACATTCTCTTTGACAAGCAGGATCATCCCATACCCAAGCAGAGTTTTGCTATAGATCAAAACTAAACATGATCTCCTTGACGCTGCTTTAACAGATGAAGACTGATAATGAACCTGGTTGCGTTAATGGAGACCCTCTCTGCAGCGTGCTGACCACAAGAAGAGACGAGTTCTCTGGCTGCCTGCTGAGCAGTGAGTTTGTGCATCAGCCAAACCAGGTCAGCTTCCCTTTGGCCCATGCCGTGAGGGCATGAAGAGTTGTGTGGCCTCTGCTGTGTACCTGTGGCTCTTGTGCAGTAAAAAAAATAGTAATAATAAAAAAACCCCACTCCTCCTAAACGTTCTCTGGTTAGCATCTTTTTTTGTCAGTTGGTTGGCAGAGACTATATCTGATGGACTGGAAAAAAGCAAAAGGCACCGTCACAGCTGAGGAGAGTAATCCTTCTGTACATTTTCACCTCCTCTGTGAAGGAGAAGATGATGCTGGGCAAAAGAAAAGACATATTATTTTTTGCTCAGTTTTCCCATTCGTTCTTACCTCCCCTGGGACTCTGGAGACCCACCAAGGCTGAAAGGATAAGACTGTGTCATGTAGGGCAATGGGACTGGGAAAGTGTCTCAGCAAAGAGGACAACCCAAGCGTGGTGGTCCCACTACTGCTCCTCAGGCTTCTCCTGCTGTGGCCATGGGGAAAGACTCAGGGTCTGTAGCCCCTCTTCCAACCAGGCAGAGGTCTGGGAGAAACTCCCACATCTTGCCCAACCACAGCTCTGAGGATGCTAATGTAGCAGGTAGAGAGGCATTACCAGTTTAAAGTGTATGGTTGGTATTAAAGCTTTACAACTGGGCATGTTTGGGTGTCTCTGATGGGTGCAGCAAAACACTGCAGCATCTCCAGCTCTCCTGGTCTTAATTTTTTCACTGCGTGCGTCCGTGTGATTAGATTAATATCTAGTCATTTGTTTAAGAAAAAGACTTGTTGCCCCTTGTGACTAAGGGAATTATCTTAAAATGTGCTATGCAAGCATTTTAAACCTCAAAACCAGAATGCAAATAAAAAGGACTCCTACATATACATGGGGAGGGGACAAAAATATTTGTAAGATACATATGCACTTCTAATACAGAGATACACTCCATATGCATTATTTTATATATATATATGCATACATGTTAATCTTTGTTTCAGACAAAACTTCTCATGGGGAGGGAACAGACTCAGATTTTGGAGGGAAGAATTTATGACATAGAATTCAGGACCTTTGAACGGTATATTTTTTGACCACCACTCCTTGTATGATCCTGGTCAACCTTTTGCTAGCCTGGTCCTCAGCTTCCTCTTCTCCTTGCTTAAGAGTTAATGTTTATTCAGAGCTTTAACTTAGGGGGAAGTCACGATGTGCAGAGCAAGGGCAATTTCTCATTTGCTGCATCCTGTTCTCCCAGGGTTTCTTAGAGAGAGACACTCCCTGAAAGGCCCACCACTGCACAAGGATGAATTAAGGTACCCATAAACTGTTGCAAATACTGCGTCCAAGCACCCATTGAAACAGGGCAGGAGTGGATAGAAACTAGAGCTTATCATTGCATTGAAGCTCCCCAAAGAGAACAAGGCGTTTCTGCAACGGTGTGAACGTTGGGAAATGCCCCTATTCCACCCAGTCTGAGCTGCTGTAACGTGGAAAGTGTGAGCAAAATGTGAATAACGTGTGAAATGGGGACCGTATAAACCATCTCACTGCATCAACAGCCCAAGTCAAGGGAGAAGGTGCTGGAAAAAATACCCCCGAAACCACGTATCCTGTGGCAGGAGCATCTCACCAGGGGACAGAGCTATCTGCCACCAATACCCGGAGGGAGCCCCAAAAGTGTAGATCCTTTCTCTAGCTCCACAGCAGCTTATTTCCACAGCAGATGCCCAAAGATTTCCTCTTGATCGAAGCCTTGGTCTCACAGGGTTCCAGAGATACACAGCCAAAGTCTGTCTTCTCTTTCCCTCCTTATTTCTGTGCATCTAGCTGGCAGCAAACAGTCTTATCTCTCAGCCTTGCTTTTCCATGACTAGTCCAGCCTCTCCTCTCCTACCACTGGCTTGGGAGAAGCGAGTTGTAGCCTCAGCAACAAGACCAGGCATAAACTGGTTGGACTGCCATCCTTCATAGACTACATCGAAATAATCCTCTTTTCTGCAGATCGTCCTTCTTCTGGCTAGACCGACAGCATCAGCCTGAATTTGGACTGGAGACAACCCAGTGTCCCTCAAGATGGAGCGACCAACTGAACGGACCCATGCCAAAACCTTCAATAGGACTGCTGTGTGACAGGGACCTGGGAATATTGGCACCCATACACTCAGCTCTGCCCCACACCCTTCATGTGGCATGCCAAGAGTTGGGAGAGAGCTCAGGAAGGGAAAGCACATGAGGAGACAGAGAAAGATGGGCCAGAAGAGAGCACTGTTGCATACAGTTTGGCTTCTTGCTCCAGGAAAGCCTACAACCTAAGCTGAACATGATATAAACATAGGAAAGAAGTCAATGGGCATGAGGATCAGGAGAATAATGTGTTTTCTCAGGAATGTGGACACTGATGGGCCTGTTGGGTTGTTTAAACTGATGGCAGTATGAGTGGTTAAGTCCGTATCCCGAGGATGCCTCCCCCCATTCATCCACTGGGGATGGCGCATGCACTTGCTTGGCCAGGAGATGTTTTGCTCCCTTGGCTTTTGATGGTGTCCTGGGGCCTGTCCAAAGCCAGCTCAGATCTCGATACAAGCCACCAGCCATGCATTCCCCAGGTCCACGAAAGTAGGTGGAGCCGATATACAGCTGGAAGGCAGCCGGTAGGAATGCCGATGGTGTTTGCACAGCACATGGCTGTGATTTAGGAGTGGTTCCTGGGCTGCAAAGCCACCAGCCCAGCTGCACCGGTGCAATTCCTGAGCAGAGCTAAAGCAAACTGCTGATGGTTTTGCTTTTCAGCCATATCACGCTTCGCCCCGTTATGCTAGAAGTTTGCTCGCATGCGGGTGTCCCCCTCGCTGGGCACTGCTGGCTCCACTAGGAACAAACCCCCAGGTTCTGGCTGTGCAGGGTGCAGATGGAGCGATGTCAGCGAGAGCTGACGTGAGGACAGCGAGCTCTTGGATCTCAAGCGCTCGTGACTGGTGACAAAGAGATGCTTCACAAATTGCGCAGGCTGGCCACAGGTCACCAGAGCAACCTGGCAATTTGCAGGAGTCAGCAAATGTGCTTCAAAAGACAAAAAAAATCTGTTTCTCCCGTGACCTTTGCAAGAGACCTGGCTTGTCTTGGTGCATCCCCCGGCAAACTCCAGGACAGAGATTGGGATGCCCTGCCAAGTCCCAGCTGGAGCAAATGCTATCCGCATGGGAGTTCATGTCCTGGTTTCAGCAGGGATAGAGTTAATTTCCTTTCTAGTA